CCTGCTGATGAGGGTGTAAATCAAACAAGGCATTGCAACCTTGAGAAATACTCTGCTGTTCTCCAAAGTTTCTTGACTTCCCAGCACTTTGTGATTCTAAATATTTGTAATATGGTCCTAACTGCAAGAGCCCACAGGGTTTGTATAAACCCTCGGATTTACTTCAGAAATATGGATAGCGTGTTGGAAAATGTACAGTAAGGAACATGCTTGCACTTTTCATGCTCTAATGTCTCTTTTCCTTTGCTTCATTAACACCATATGAAAAGTATTGAGAGATGATTGTGCAGAGGCCCTGTGATCAGTAGGTAATGACCACCGGGTTATGTTGGGTGTAGCATATTGTTATGATAGAGAGAAGATACAGAAGAAAATGGCTCCTTAAATCTTGCTGAAGAAATTATTGTACTGGGCTACGGAGGGATGTTTTGAGGTTGGTCTTGAAGTCAGAGTTTTGCCGTGCTTTCAGTGAGCTGAATTTCATCGAAAGTCTATAGGCTAACAGGAGCAGCCTGAGATGGCCTATTGACATAATGTAGTTTGTGTATCTTTTTGGCAGGGAATGGTTTCTTCTGCCTGTTCTATTTAACTGAAGTTAATGAGTATCTTTCTTTTTTTTTTTTTTTTTTTTTTTTTTAGGAAGTTCCAATATATCATAATAAACTAAATGAATTCAGATTTCAAAGCTTAGCATCCCAAAATAACAGTCTGTTGTAATTTGGCTCAGGATGCTCAAACATTTGCTCTCTTCCTGCATTACAAAATGGCCTACAGCCAACCTCAGCAGATTACTGCACTGACATTGGGCGTCTATCAGACCTTTAAATCAGTTGAAGCAGGCCAGAAAAAACTTGCTTTTATCCATTTTAAGATCTGTAGACTCTGCTCATCAAGTGGTTTGCTCTCCAGTGATGGCACAGGCTTTTCCATGGCTTATGCAGCTATGCATGGAAATGAATACTCCCCAGAAAGATATCTTAGACTAAGATTTCTTAGGGTTTTTCTACTTCATTGCTGGCTTGCTGAAAACAAGAAGATAAATTGCGGGATAAGGAATAAAATGAGAACATGTGAGAGCTAGAAATGCCTTGTGGGAGCTGTTTTCTCTCTCTCTTTTTTTCTTTTTCATATATGGACAATATGACTAAGTGACACTGAATTATTCCCTGAAAGTTGAATTGCTGCTTCTTGTGACTTCCTGCTCTATAATTTTACTGTATCGTGTATCTGCAATATGGGGCAGGGGGAAGGAGGGGAAAATAGGAAACAGATGAGGGGATATCAGCTTGGCCCCATAGCACTACTCATGAGCTTCAATGGGTTTATTTTGTGTGTGTGCCTGTCGGCATACGAGAGAGAGACAGCAACAGAGAGGCGTTCTTAAAAAGATTTATCTCCAACTATCTAATGTGGGAAGACAATTACAAGCTTATACGATGAGGTAAGAGAATCGTTTTGTTTATACCAGAAAAGATAAAGCACGTATTTCTTCCATCACAGTGATATATTAAAAGAAAGCAGAATATTGTGTGTAATTGGCTTTTTGGCTTGCGCTCCCTGAGGCCCCTAAGGACAGGATGACGGGGCGCCTTTTAAAGCTCGCGAGCTAACTCAGGGCAGCTACCCTGCTTAAATGCTTGTGGGGAGGCAGTTTAGCGTTGCTCAGAGTAGAGTAATTTGGCCAGACCTAACAAGACATTCAGTGGTAACTTCGCCCTTAATCAGAAAGGAGAGAAAACAAACAGTAACTGTCCCCAATTTCCTTCAAGCAGCTTTTTGGGGGATGCGTCAAAATTGGGCTTGCCCTGCCTTCGCCACGGAGCATCGCGGCTCCTCCCAGGCAAATGCATGGTCTGGGAACTGCTGGGTACCCAAATTGTCTGTAGCTCGCAATGAAGGCCCTGTGTGGATGCTGTAGACTCAGGAACTGGCAGAGTTTCATGCCTTTTGACAGGGATAAGTTGGCTGTGCCACCACAGCAGCAAGCAGGAGGCTTTCACTTTCTCAGGTGCTAACAAAGCTCTGGTCCCTCGCACTAGATTTGATACCCAAAGCATGTTTCATTTTTGCTTCTTTCTGTTCTTCCCCACTCTTCCTTCCCCAAACACTACTCTGATTTTTATTTCATTCTGCATTTCCACCATATGTCACATCTCTAAAGGGACAGACAGGCTCTTCTGAGGGTTCAAAGCCAGCTCATGCTGCCTGCCGCTATTCCAATTGCTGACCTAGATGTTACTGTACATTATAATAACACTTTACACATACAGAGGACCTTTTGGACACAGTTTTGAGCGGAGCTGAAACATAAATCCCATGAATTCCCTACCATGTACGGCGGAGGCAAGCGGGATTAGTTCTCTTCCTTTTTCAGCAGGCTCTGGACACATCAAATGGAGCTGTCTACAAAGGGAAACGAAGAGGATTATGTGATCTTTATCGGGATCTCTTTACAAGACTGATGTGTGAAAGCAAGAGCATGGCATGAAGGAGCATCTGCCACGTCGTTAACACATGGGACGTAGAAAGAAGACCCAAAAGGCGAGTGCAGGAGCATTTGGGGCAAAGAAGTTGTTCAAAAAAGACCTAAAAAGACACAGAAGGGAAATATTTTCCCTCAATATTAGTACTGATAGTGAAAACAGATAACAAAGTGGGAGTGTGGGATGAGATGAGATGTATTTTATAGCAATATATTAACAGGCTCATGGTTAATGTCATTTCCCACCAGTTAACCAACCCCTCCACTGAATCTCCCGACCCAAGCCAGGCACAAACCGCTGGCCGTCAGTGCCACTATTGCCAGGGAATATTTTTCTGTGATATTCTGATTCCATCAGTCTGGATCATTTTTTTCTTTGTTTCAGCCCCTTTTGTGCCGGATCCGCTTGGGTCCTGCTGCGTCCTGCACAGGGCCGCACCTCCAGCCACAGCAGTGATCTGTCCACCGGGTATTTCACAAATGCCCTGAGAGTGAAATGAATGAACGATCATCTATTTATTCTTCTGAATAAATTCTGCTGAGTTTAAAACAAAAGCACAACAAACATGCTCAGAGCTGTTTCCAGCGCTTTTGCTCAGAGTCTGTGAAAACAAGAGTGGAGGCTAGTCTGGGAAGAAAAAAATCCAACCTGAAATCACCATTAACCAGGGATCAAAATGAAATGGAGATTCAGCTTGTTGCAGGGACGTGGGTTTTACCAAATGTCAGTATAACTTTTTATTATGGGAATTATTGCTTATACTATTATGAGGATAGTAGAAATTTAACATGGCAGGCAAATACAAAAACCCTTTTAATTCTATGCTGTTGATAATTTATCCTAAAACTATTACTAGAGCGAGAGGTGGAAAGGTGGTTTTTCTTTACAAGCTCTCCTTCCGGCCTTTCTGTGCAGTTCACAGAACAAAGTAAAAAATATTTACTCTCTTAATGATTCAGTAATTTCAGCCTTCAGATTTGTTTATACAGGAAAAGCTTTTTAAATAATAGATGTTTATTATTGCTGAAGATTTCTTCATTTTCGCTTAGGGTACATCTTGCAATTCCTCCCTTTTGGTGGAGCAGCTGTTATTTCTGCTTATTGCTTACTCTGAAATGTGTATAGAAGAGTCTATTTGTGTAAGTGCTATTTTCTACATGATTGATTTTAGAGTATTTGTATGAGTGCGCAGAGAGTCCACTGCACATGGATTTCATTTCAAACTAAACATCTGTCTGAAAGCAGAGGTTAAAACAAGTGCAAACCAAAGCAATGGTCATTCACAAATAGGTTCGTCACAGTCTGATAGCCTAGACCGCTCTCAAACAGATTCACAGAAGCTAATTGAGGGCTTAGTCAGTACAGAGAGTCCTGCTGGAGAGGAATAATGAATAAGGATGCACTGGAGAAGAACGAGGAGGCGGCAGGACCAGGAGGGAGGGATGGGGAGAGAGGAAACCAGTAGTGGTAGATAAAAACAGTGAATTTGCCCGTGGGGTTTGCGGGAGATGCTTTTCCACCTAAGCTCTCTGCTGCCCAAATGGCAAATGCACCGGCTCTGCCCACCTGCCTCCACACCGAGTGTTTTCCCATCCTGCCTTTGCCTTCCTCTCTATACCCCAGCATAACCAATCCAGGCTTTTTGGGGCAGGAAAAGCAGCATGGCACTCAGGGGACCCAGGGTGTGTGCCCGTGCTGGGCGCAGGAAGGCAGCGAGGCTGCCCCATCCCTCCCCACGCTCAGCCCTGACCCCTCGCAGCCGCTTGTCCCTCCTCACCCACTGTTTGCTTAGTTTCCAGGAAAACACTTCACTGGGAAAAATCTTTGCCAAATTAATTTCCAATATTCTGGGTTCAACAAACTTCTGCTGACTACAGTGTAGGCTTTGGTGTCTTGAGGACATCAGCCCTCGTTTTGGAAGGTCATAACAGGAACATGGTGATCCTGGTGAGCTCATCCCAGGACAGGCAGCCCTGTGCTCCTGGGGGAAGATGCTCTTCTGAGGATCTGGGGTTCCTGCTCCTTGGGGGTGCCCAGGAGAGGAGCTCAGGTCTATAAACCAGCTGTGAGAATGAGAAGAACCTTGCCATTCCCAAAATGGCCGTCGAGCACGGGGGAGACAAGGCAGGAGCTTATGTCCAGGTGCTTGGCCCTGCCACCACATGGGAGCTTCGCTGTTCTTCTTCACAGAGAAATTGCAAACCAGCTGCTGTTTTCAGGGGACTCGGCGGTTGGTAATGCCTTTGTTGTGATCTCCCTCCTCTTTTTATTTCACTTTTTAGGAGCTTTAAGCCTTTCCCTGGCAATGAATTACTATAGCTGGTAGAGGAGGAGTGAATTTTAAGGCTTGTTCCCTTCTGGGGCCACGGGGTGTAACTCTGGCCTGGAAAAATGCACATCCATCAGTTGAGGCTTCACAGCCTTAAATCTTTTCCCAGAGCCAGGGAACCAAGTCACCCCTTTCTGGGGAGAGTGTAGATCACTTCTCCCTTTTAAAGAGAGTGCTGGAGGCACTCATAAAATACCTCCATTTTACAGAGGTGCAGCTGAGAAAGGCTCAGGTTAGGCAATACCTAAGAGGGTTCAAAACCTCAGCTTTTTCTCAGGAAGACCTGAAACCTTTATTTCTTGTTTTTTAGGCTGGAGTCATGAGCCTTTGCAGGTAAGACTTCATGATTTATCTACCGAGATGGAGGCAGCAGTGAGGCACTCCCCGGGGAGAGGAAACCCGACTGAGGAATGGTTTTGTGTATTTTATCCAAGAAGCGTTAATGCTGTTTACACTAATCAGATTTATTTACTGTGGGGAAAAAAATCTTTGTAAATACAAAGTGTTTATTATTACTAAAGAGTTCTTCTGTTTGGCTCAGTGGCTCCTCACTGGATACGTTTCAATTCCCCTCCTCTGCTGAGCAGCTGCCCTTCCTGGCCACTGCCCAGTCTGCAAATCCATATGAGGGTTTTGTAGAAAGCTGTCCCTAAAGGCAAGTTGCCACAAAGGACCCCTTCTGCTTCCCAGGAGGATTGAGGGAGGAAAGACTCCTTCAACTTTGGTGTTAGTCCAATCGGAGCGAATTCATTACAAACACTGGGATTCTGCGGTGAGTCAGGTTGGATAAGCTGGGGGCCAGGTGACTTGAGCCTTCCCTGCCCCTTTGTGCATGGCATTGCACAAGGAACCTCGGTTGTTTGTCATTTGTCCATGTTTTGGCCTCTTCAGGACTTCTGCACGGCCTCTTTCCCGGGAATCCCGTGGTGATGAGCACAGCGACAGCCTCAAGTGAGGGTTTGACTTCTCTGCTGCCGTTACCTTTACAAGCACTGACCACTGCTGTGCCCTGGGCTGGAACAGCAGTTTCCCATGTGAGCTGTTAGGCTGGCTGTGACAGCAGGGCTGGTTGCTGGGGGCCTGGCCCACCGGCCAGGGCGGGCCAGCACCTTTGTGTCTGTGACCCTTCAGAGCAATGGGGTGGCAAGTGGCTCGCTGCAAAACTCATCCCTGGGCTTCACCCCAGAGCCGTACGCAAGACAAGCAACCTGACAGAGGGGGCATGCCGATGGCAGCCTTATTGCTCCTGCATCGGTTTAAAAGAAACCAGAAACCTCTCACCGTGCGTGACCTCCGATAGCGCTGGAAGGCCCCCGGGGAGGGGGGGTGATACCAGCAGGCACTGGGAGGGGGCCGGGCGAGGCAGCTGGGGGGGCACTCAAACAGGCTTTGGGGCAGGGCAGGGCAGGGCTGGCCGGGCGGCAGCCAGGAAAACTCCCTGCGGTGGGGGGGTCGCAGAGGGGCTGAGATCGATGGGACCCCCGGAGCGTGTCCGTTCAACCTCCCCGCTCGGAGTCCCGGCTGGGTGGGGGATGGAGGAACAAAAGTCCAGAAGAAGAAAAAAGCGATTGTGGATGAAACGCTGAGCTGGAAGGGAGGATGGAGGACGCCCCTGGCCGCTTTGTGCTCCCGCGGCGGCGGGGCACGGACGGACAGACGGATGGACGGGTGGGTGGGCGGATGGATGGATGGATGGATGGATGGATGCCCTTCCCGGGGGGCGGCCCCCT